TTACTTTGCAGCGTGCAGTGGTGCGTGGACGGCTGAAATCTGGAAGACATCGAATTTACTTGTACAATTTCAAGAATTTAGATTATTAATAAAAATTTAGATTAATAATAAAAAAATTTGTTGAGAAACTTCATAAATGGCAGTAACATTTTCGCGGCAAAAAATTGGTATCGAATTGAATTTTCTCGAAAATAAGGGTAAAATTGTAGGATGATGACAAGATTCTTGTCCCAGGCACCACTGTGCAACGAGCGAGTCAACGATCTCCGCGAGGCGGGTGCGCAAGAAAAATTCGTCTCTTTCCGTAAAAGGCGACGCCGAATATCCTATAGATGCACGGGAGAATGCAGGAATAACAATATGCGGCGAGAAATATATGGATGCACCGACTGTGCTGCGGTGTTATATATGTCGTCGTATCAAAATTGTACGCGATATATACGCAAAGAAAGTAAGAAGGGCGCGAGGTGGGATATCAGATTCTTCGTATCAATGTTTGGTATAAAGCTAAGAAAACGAACGGAAAGAGAAGAGTTTTTGCTCATCGAGAAATGTACTTGCTCGATGAGCGAAACGTAAGAGAACGGGACACGTAGTTCGTACATAAACAATGAGCAAAATGTAAACGTCGGGGAAATGTAATATTTAGTGGACGGTAGGTGTGGACGTTGTGTATCCAGTGCTAGATGAACATTTTGTATACACAAAGCTGTGTACTTAAAAGCTTGTCTGTTACAAGTAGATCTGCTGTCCGGATGTTGACCGCCAGAGGCGAAATCGTTACTATAAAAGCGCTGATAAAAGATACAGAATTATGCTCCAAAAATTCATTCGCGACGATTAAAATCTTATTATAAGGATAAGAAAATTAATTATAATAAATATAATATTCAATTATCACTTCTTTTCAGCGTAATTTTTTTTAGAGTAATTTACACTTTGTTTTCACGAAATTCTGTTATAAAAATAGAAGTTAATGATGCACTGTGTAGTTGATAAAATAAGTTCTATCACTGTGTCGAAAGCAACAGCTTTATCTCGCGATTAAAATGAGGTGACCTTTTCTAACTTTTTTTAGAGCATCATATCGATTTAGCCAACAAATTGCAATTCGAAAGGGGTCATTACAAATCATGTGTATATGTATTGTAATCGCGTTTCGATAATCTTAAGAAAAGGAAATTGATGATTTCGCGATTTTTCCGGGAGGAGATCTTTTGCGACCTGCAATAAATACGCGGGACCATATGAGAGAGTCCGTAATACCGAATGCTCTTCTCGAAGTATGAATAAGCTTACTTTGTAATTAAGCTAGAGAATTCCAACAGCGATTAGCGCGACACGATAGTTGCTTCGCACGGCATTGAAATCATCGTCGACGGGTTCTGCCAACAATAGGGAACTTATGACGATAGCTAAAATGTTTCCAGCTTCGCGAAACCGGATAGCAATTTAAAGACGCGAATTCTGAAATCGTGGAAGCCGATTGTGTCTTTAAATAGCTCTCGAACAGAAGCTACTTCAGAAGCTACGGAAGAAAAGCAAGAAATGATAATTGTATATTTTTCTATTGGATATTAAATATTAGAATTTCACTTAATATTGGATGTCCATTGAATATTTATTGCTAATTTTTGTTGGAAGAATTTTTTAAAATATATATTAAATTAATATATTATTTTTTTTAAATAGAATAAATTATAGTTGATATTGTTTGTACACGGAGAGAATTTTCTCTTAGAATTTACCCTGAAATGGTGGTAATCGTAGGACAATATGGTATTGAAAGAATTTGATAAGAATTTCTCTGATTAAATACTTAATACCACAAAATATTACAAATATTGTGGTAAAATATTAAGAATTCAGAGAAATTAAAAATTCTTCCAATACCATATTATCCCACAATTACCATAATTTTGAGGATAAATTCTAAGAGAAAATTCTTTTTATGTATTTTTCGAAGTCGCGTTTAGAAAATAGATGTATATAATTGTTCGAGATAATTCAAAACATGTCTGATTCATGTTAATAAAAAAACTAAACCAGTTTTGATCTTTCGACACAGGCTCTGAAAATAGATTGGATTCTCTTTCTCCCCCTTTTTCTTTCTCTCTGCCTGCATACCGAGGGAATTGATAGTTACCATTGTTTTTGTTCCGCAGGGGGTTGATTTAGAATCACTGCTGTAACGCGTCGTCTTCTCGTTGCACTCTCAACATCATTGCACTGCCATATGCATGTATGTACGGTTAGATAGTCGGCTCTCCACGAGTGCCATTTAATGCGAGATGAGAGAGACGGAGACGGAAGAAAAAGAAAGAAAGAAAGATCGGCCGTTTAGTGCCAATGTCAAAACCAACGCAGCACCGCCTACATGCTCGTGCGCTGTCGGCGAAAGAAGGCTTCTCTCATCGTCGGCGGCGACTTGTTGCACGAGCGAACACGTGAGTAATTCCGTTGGAATTGATGAACTCGTTACGCTTATATCGTTCCCTTACATCGTCGGATTAAGCGTGCCGGCCGTAAATCCGCGGCGGGAATTATTTATGCGATCGGCGGCATAGAGAGGCGGCTCTTATACAAGGAGGCTCTTGGACCTTCCCTAAAGAGACGCCACCTTTCGAGTATATATCGTTTCATTCTCGCCGCCCTTTAATTGCATTCGCAGTTAATTGCGTTCGTTTTTTCTATTTGCCGAAGATCAGCGCCGATCTTTGTCCGAGCGCGAACGTCACTTTAAATCCCTTTAATCTTGCTCTATATATCGTTGAAAGCTGCGCTTTTATCGCGACGGGATTAAATTATATGTCGAATTTAAAAGTTCCGACTGGGCGGTCTTTGTGCAACGCTGAAATCTTTAATCATATGTAACAAGTATAAATTGCAATAGAGTTGAAAAATATTCACAGGATAGATATTTCATACAGAATGTCTGAATGATATAAGGTCACATCGAAAATACGCAAGTAGATCTTGTTATTTGGAGACAATTTTTTTCAACAAAAATATTGAGGCATCAATAATTTTCGAGTTATAAGCGATTGAAAATAAAGGGTTTTTTCGCAAATTGCGCCTTGTGGAAATAAAATATTAACATAACCACATTCTACAATTAATTTCGAGTGGAGTTTACTTTAATACAATTTTAATTTAAGATTTAGTTGTAAAAATACATGATGGCAAAAATTGGGAACATGCAAAAAATGATGACTTTCCTCGACATTTTTGCTGAGGACAAAATAACGTCTCCAAATAACTAGATTTACTTGTATATTTTCGGTGTGACGCTTTATGTCAAACACTCTGTATATGTATATCATTTATTGAATTCTTTCTGAATAAAATTAATTTCGTGATAGATATGCAATGCTGCAAATGCATGGTTTTTCCTTAACCGACGAATTATTTAGTCATCGTCCCAGGATAAATTACTTAAATTTGAATATGAAGATTCGATTCGATGGAAAAGCGATGTCGCGCTGCTCTTAAGAGAGATTCATCTCCGTTTCGGTGTGCTATCGTGCGTTGTGTAATGTAGCTAGTATTTGCATTGGTATGCGCAAGACCATCTCTTCCGTCCATTACATACCCTCCAATGTCATTTTGTAGCTCGCAATCACAAGTGCGTTTATCGTCTTAGCGTTGTGACGTGACGAGGCGCAGCTTATTACGTATTTGGATAAGTGAATGCAGAGTAACTGCAACAATGCACTCAGAGGCAATGAAGATCGCACGTACGACGATCCGCATAAATTAAGCGCATTCTTTGATTACAACCGCGATAAAATATTAAAATGACGATAATAAACTATCGGAGAAGGAGCATCAGTTATAATTCTGCAATAATTTTTACAAAATATCAATATCAATCCTAAACAAGAAAATTTATGGAAAATTTAAATAAACTTTTAGAAAACTTATTTAAATCAATTTTGTTTTATGCACACGCGATATATAATATAAAAAATCTGTTCTTATTTTTAATTCTTTAATGTTTTTGTTTTTGCAGTATTGATTCGAAATTTCAGTCAGAGAGAATTGATCTTTAAGTAAAAAGTGATTCGAAACGTTTGTATAAGTTTAAAGTCAAACTCGTTAACAGTAAAATAATTTATGCACTTATTTAAGTAATATCAAATCAACGAATAAAGCCCACTTCATTCCTGCTGCGAGGAAGAGATTAAAATCCGTGCGTAAATTATCTCTGTACGTTGTAACATCCTTGCCTTTATTACGATCGTGCTGTGCGTTTATTCTTATTACCTATAAACAGTGTTGTGCTTAGATGATTTTACAAGAATTAGTTAGATGAAGATGATTTTGTTTTAAATATATCTCGATAAAAGATAAAATTATATGGCGAATCATCAAGATAATTTCCAGATAATATTATTTTTAAGACCGCTTATATTAACACAATTATAAAAAAAATGTACCTAAATTATAAAAATTCATACTTTTATTCATAAGTTTTAATCGCTTACTGCTTAAGTTCTACTACTTAAGTATTTTTATATGCTATGAATTAACCAAATTATCTGAACATTATTTTAGATAATTGAATAAAGATAAGACTTTTTCATCTAAGATGCAGATGTAGATAATATATATTTTTATCTGTATGAAGATAAAATGGCGTCAAAACTTTAGGTAATCATCTATATAATTCTATTTAGATGACAGCTAACACTGCGTATAGGGCGCGTCCTCGACGGATTTGCGTTCGGTGTCCAGAATGCGCGAAAAAGATCGACCGGCTCGTATCCAGCGCCAATAAATATTGATTTATCGGTCTGGAAATCGAGCAGCGGGGTGATTTGCGACCGAGGCTCGGACTCCTAGGGCCCCGCGAGCGCGCATCCCGTAGGGCCCCACTAGGGCCCTAAGGTGCTCGCGAGATGCTAGGTGGGGAACCACCGTAAACCTCCGCGTCGATCCGCGGAATCCTATATAAGAGGATGCGACCGAGAGTTTACACTCTCACATCCGTTACCTGACTCTCGCCGGGATTATCCTAGACGAGCGAAAAAAAGTCACCAGATCACGATCGATCGACGGTTCACCAACGCAATCAATTTGATTCATCCGAGGACGATCATGATACTCGTGAGTGTGAATTTCAATTTTATCGAGCAAATTTTGGCGCTTATCGAGTTGGAGAAAAATTCACGATACAGTTGAACATAATTATGCTTAATATTTCAAGATCGCCATAAAGTCTGTTTCATCAGTGCGTCCTTTGATTAATGCAAAAATGTAAATTGAAGTTAATTTTGAGGGAGTCTATGTGGAAAGAGAGAGAGGTTTTGATAGAGCTTTTTAATTTCATTTCGTGCGTCGTGTCTCTTCGTGATACTATAATAAACTTTTAGCAATTTACTCTTGTTCGATAAACAAGGACGTTAAATAAAATTAAAGTTCTACACAATTCAATTTACAGTGTCACGATAAGAATTTGTTTAACGTAAAAGGAAAAATATTTCAACGCACACTTGCAACATCGTATCGATTCTGTGTTATTTAATTACTCGGGCGTATTTTAAGAAAAAATGTATATTAATGTTAACAATTGTTCTTGCATCGTGATAATATATACGCTGCTATAAACTCAACATACTGATAATAATTTTATTGATTTGAACGAATCGCGAGATGTTTGCTATTATTTATTAACGATCGAAGTTCTGGATTTCTCACGCATTTGTGATTCGAGGAATATCGCTATAATTCCGCTCCGCGAAAAGTCTCATAATAAATGCAGTTTGTGGTTATGCCAGGAAACCGTGACCCCTTCGCGTAATCAAGCTGAATTTCCGCGATCAATAAAAGTTACGCCATTAAAGTCGAAATACAGTCTTTTCTCTTGCCTGCGGAACTGTCACTGTAACGCTATCGCGTGTATCTCTCCGAATGTCTATAGAAAATTATCCTCTTTCCGTGCCATGACAGCCGCATTTTCGTGCTCGCATAACTGTGTTACAGTTGATGCACCGCAATTTAATTCATTAATAAACGTAATTGCTCGATGACAAGCTCTTGCGAAATAAAATGCTTAAGACAGGCATTGTGAGATATGATGAAATATAATTACCGATATAAAACCCCATGTACCGATTATTTTTATAAGATTTCATTACTAATATTTTATATATTATATCTATCATAAAACTCTTATGGTATAATTATATTTCAATCAAATAAAAAAATCAATATCTTTTAATTTCTAAATTTAATTAAATATTAATTATTTCTATTATATGAAATTTTATATTTACCTTTTAAGCAGATAATAATCAATATGTAAAAATAAATTGTTTATTCCACAGGCAATTTTGTGTAGTCTCGTCGTTGGACGAGCCATCGCTTCACCCATCGCCAATGTTTGGCTTAGTCCGATACCAGCCCTTTCGCCATTGAGACAATTCCACATACAAGACGGATCGGGGTCTTATCAGTATTCCTTCACGGGTCCTCATCATGCCAAAGCGGAATCTACTTTGAACGGTGTAACGCAGGGTGGTAAGTTTCAGTTTGATGTATTTCTATCATACTTTTTTATTGTAATATTCGAAGTAGACTTCAAAATAAATATTTCTTGTTTATACTAATTTTCTCTACAACATTTAGTTTTAATACTACATGATATACATGTAAGATATGAGTTTATGACGTTTCAGTTTGTCATCATTGTATTAAAGTTAAGGAAGGAATTTATGAGCATTTATTATAAAAAAAAGTGAATTATTTTTATATACAATTTATTCTGTGTTTTGTTCAACATTGAAATATAATTTAATTTTTTCACTTATATTTTGTTTATTGTTTAAGTCACAAAACTCCTATTTCAAAGCATGTAATATAAAACTGAAATCGTCGTAGAGAAAAATAATATTAACAAAAAAAATTTATTTTGAAGTTTTCTATTTCTCTTCAAACTTTATCGATCTAATTTTTTGCATCTTATATGTACATATTAATAATATATTATATAATATATATTATTATTATTATTATTATATAAAATGGAATTTATTTGCGAAATGCCAACGACAAGTGCGATTCGCTTTCGTGATCTAAGATGAATGCCGTGAGTGCATAAATGGAATGCATTCTTTTGCGAAGTGTATTACAAGAGGAGCATTACCGGCCTACGTTCACGAAAGAATCTTTCACTAATGCTCGCTAACATGACGTAAGAAAGACGCCCATACGCTGCATGCTCATCTCTGCAAATTTCTTCGGATGACAATGCGCGGTTGCTCGTTTGAATCGCTTGTCTCTCAATACAACGTGATGACTCACGATATGCGCGCGATGCGCATGCAATGTAATTTATGTGAAATTCTATGTAATCACTAAATATAAAATATCTATCCTTAAATTTACATTCTGAATGCTAATTACCCGTAACATATTTATTGGAGTTAATGATATTGATATTATAAATGCAATATAATTTATATTGCATTTATTTATGTTTACTTCAAGCGTGTCGTCTGACGTTTTCTAGATAATACAATAGCACTATTTATCGAAGAATATCTCTATTTTCCCTTCAGGATACTCCTATATCGATGCGAATGGTATTCTGCAAACGGTCTCGTACACGGCGGACGATGAGAACGGATTCAGGGTCAGCGCAAGCAATTTGCCGCAAGCTCCGAAGAAAGAATTGCAAACGATACAAGACACGCCAGAAGTGGCTGCGGCGAAAAGAAATCATCTCGAGGAGTTGCAGAAGTCGCAACAGGCGAATTGGCAGGATCAGAATCTCCTGTCGTATAAAATCGTGCCGTCGTACTTCAGCTTTGCCCAAATCCAGCAAGATCAAAACAGCAAAAACGAATTGAACCCCAACACGCGAGAAACGCAAGTAAGTTTCAGTCTTGCCGATACTTCAATCCAAGTTTGGCTGTAGAAAAAAAATAACGATAATAAAATCCGTTCACACGTGTTCTTTTCAATACATATCCAGCAAATTTAAATGGAAAACTTTTAGTGCGGTTATCACATATCCGTCCCAAGGCGCACAACACATATTACAAGCTCAAAATATGCGTAAAATGTGCATACTGATCTAAATATAAAATCAATAAAGATTTTTTATCACATAAATATAAAATAAAATTATAAAATAAGATATAATTTCTTTATATTATATTTTATAACAAAAAATTTTTTTATATTTGGAAATATAAGTTGGTTAATAAAATGCATAGAATATCGTTTTGTAATGAGATTAAGAAGTTTGCGAAATGGTGTTTGAAAAAAATCGTTGTAAATAATGTTTCAAATAACCCAGAAACTCTCCGTAAAAATTCAATAATATTCAATTCAATAATTTTTCATTGAAACTTTTCTCAGAGTACCAAGAATCCATTTTTGCTGACAAGATCGGAGGCGGAGAAAATCGATGTCCCCAAGCCAGATCCGAGTCTCTCGAAGGTATCGCCTGCGCCTTCAAATCCCACCACTATCTCGTCATCACCCACTTCAGCATCATTAAAGGAGAGTACGCTTCTCAAGCGCGAACAGTCGCAGACGTCTTATTCTAATCAGAATGCGTTGCAGCTGGGAAAGTTTGTACCGCTTGTCACCAGTGTCCCGAGACCGGTAGCCGTGCCTACGTCCTACGTACTTCCGGTGATGCCTTACAGACTCCTTCACAGTTCGCTGCATCATACCCAGGATTCTCTGGGCCAATACGATTACAGTTACACCGGGGACTCGAGCGCCAAAACCGAATCCAGATCGCTCGACGGTACCACCAGGGAGCCTATAGTTACATCGATCCCAATGGGATCCTTCAGCAGGTGCATTACATCGCTGATCATAATGGATTCAGGGTTATGGCAACTAATCTGCCCGAAGCGAAATGATGATGCAGTAATGTCCCGCGGGACTTGAAAGCGTTCGTTTTGGAAAAAAAATCGCGGTATCATATGTATGAGATGTCAAAACGTTAATGTCATATACAACTTTTATTTCTGAATTTCAGATTTTTTAAATGCTGGACTTTAATTCATTTTTAAACTTGGAATTTGGAAGAAAAAAATATTTCTGCAAGTTTCGAGCTTGTCAAAAAATTTATTTCAATCGAAAGATAAAGTATGAAGGAATTAAATTGATGTAGCTCGTATATTTATTTAATTGATTTTACTTTTATATTTAAACGATAATCGTAGCTTATTATAGTCGAGGAGTTAAAAGAAAAATCTTTAGAAAATTCATATATAAATACGTTGTCTCGTTTAATAAGTATCGGTGTTGGGAAGATTTTCGAGAGAGAAAGTAATATACGAATGCTTCTCGAGTTTGTTCGACAATTATTCTCGTGATAATACGAAAGAACAAATTTGATTCGTATTCGAGTATCTTTTTAAGATTAACTTTATTGTTTTGTAACGTTATATTATTTCGCGATCCGTATTATTATTACCAAATAAATTATTTTACGATATTGCAGACATTCTACTTTCATCGTTCTTAATAATCAGCGTTGAAAAAACGTATTTTTAAGATTGTTAGTAGATTGCACTTATCGATCAAATTTCATAAATACAAATGAAAAATACAACTTCTATTATTATCTCTGTGTGTCGTTCTGTTATTTTATTATTCCCTTCTTATGTATAACTATTTTGATATGAAACGATATTATATAGGCTTGCCTATATTTATAATTTAATATTTTCAAGTATATAATATTTTCAAATGTTTATATTAATATTATGTATATAAGTGTTTTGTCAAGAAAAGAGTAAATTGTTAATTTTATAGATTTTTAACTTATTTATATTTTTTTAACACTTAGTCTTTACATCTTTGCACTTAAAATATTTCGATAAAGAGAAATTGCGATTTGCAAAAAATATTTTTACAAAAAAAATTACTCGTATTTCAAAATAAATTATGATAATATTATTTTTATCGAAAGAATAGAGAAGAATATATTCGTATTCAAGAAACGTGAGCTTGTACATTTCGATTCGATCAAGCGCGAAGGGAAACAAAAAATTGTGTTAAATGCAGTGCAGCTGTTCAAAAATGACATAGATGCATTTTGAATAGCTAAAAAATAAACTTTATTAACGCGAGCGATCGTCTCTGTCGTTTGATATGTATAAGACGTACAGACGAAACACATGATAATTATTTCCTTTACATCATAAAAAAGAGTTATTGCGTAAGCACAAGGTTGCCACACATAATCAATATCGCTCGAGATGCTGATAAGAAAAGATCCGCTCGTAAAAGAGACGCGGGTTAAAGATGGTCAGTCAGTAGTATTCGACAGAATGTCGAATGACAGAGTTTCTAACAATAAGATATTAGTATATCACTTGAAATCTCTTCTTCGCGCGCGTAAAGTATCGATTGTTCTCGATTTACTTTCGCCAGGCGTTTTAAGTAATTAATAAAAGCGGCGATTCTCACAATGGCAGAAATTTCGCAGAGCAACGAGGCATCGACATGCGAGATCCCGTCATCGAAATACGCGCAATACACGGGCGTGCTTGCGGGTGAGTTTTGTGCTTAATCTTCGTGAATCGCGCCGGTTAAAACGCAGCTGCATTTGCATATGAATATTTAATAGCCATGATAATTTTATCAAAAGCGGCGAATCCCATACGCGCGCGGGCATATATGTATATATATATATATATATATATATATATATATATATATAAAGCTACCAGATTTTCAAGGGCCATAAATATGTAAATTTACTTTTATCTCTTTACAGCCTCTTCGAAGACTGAAAACTATGGCCTTTGAAAATTCAAACTTTCACGCGCGATTGCAATATTAATCCTTCCCGCCCGTCTTAATTTAATTGAAAGTTCGCGTATCGTAGTTAAAACTAGTTCTCTCTCTCTCTCTCTCTCTCTCTCTCTCTCCTCTCGCGATAGACATCTCTTGACTGTGTAATTTAACTTTGCCGCTATGCGTGCCCGTGGGATCTAAAAAGCGGAGAATGTCAAGAATAAACGCGAAGCGAAAGAATTCTCAAGACGCAGAGCGCTTTCGAGGAGATAAAATATTTCTCAAGATGGATCAAATAAAATATTTCTCAAGATGTATTCCCGAGATAAAACATGTCTGACATTTACTTTCTACCATTGCTTTAGCGACACTCGCCGCGTTTTCAATCGGCACGTATTTGTCGTGGACATCATCCGCTTTGCCGCTTTACAATAAGAATGACACGCTATACGTTAGCGATCAGGAAGGCTCTTGGATCTCTTCCTTGTTCCCTCTTGGCGCTATATCGATTACGATACCGGCGGGAATGCTGGCGGATAAGTTTGGTCGGAAGAAAACGATCTGGGTGATAACTGTGCCTTTATTTTTGTGCTGGTACATTATCGCATTCGCACGGAGTAAGATATGGTGAGAAAAGTTCACTTTAAATTTTTTACCATTTTTATATGCATGCCGAGAATCATTATTTATGATTTAAGTTCTTCGTGTCAGGGGAAAAAAGATACCGACGCGTGTTTTTTTCATGAGCGCATAAAAAAGAATTTACATTGTTATACATTAATCAATATGTATAAAAAATAACACGTGTTCAAATTTTACTTTCATTAATTATAAAAAAATAATTTATTCAGGCTTTGTTATTAATTTTACGACAGAATTAACTTTAGAAATTAATATTTTCGAGCTCATGTGATGTTGTAGTCAACAGTTGTAGACGAACCCTTATGAAGTCTATATCTTCGAAGAAGATAGAGATTTGTATTTTCTTTACAATTGATAGAATTGAGAGGATTCAATTATTATTGTAATCAATATTGGGTGAGCTGGATAAGTCAAGTAGTAAGAATCCGAGCAAGTCGGATAACCGACAGATTAGGGCGGATATATAAGTCGGATAATCGATTAGATCTGCAAAACTCTATATCATTGTACCGATATTGTAACCGTAGAGGAAGAATTCAAAGTTTCCTTCCGCATCTCGAAGAGACGACCACTTGTACAAGTTATAATGAATCTCGAAACTTTGCTTGGTCATACAATTCTCTATTCATTTCCGCATCTTTCGCGAGATGAAACTCGAAAACTTTAGTTCAGAGATAGAGAGAGAGAGAGAGAGAGAGAGAGAGAGAGATCGATATTACACAATTATTCTAATTAATTAAATAAAATTTTTTCTTTATCGAGTATCAATTGTTCTTGTGTTATGAGAATTTTCATCCCATCAATTGCATTGGCTGCGTTCCCAGCCAGCGAGGCGACTTTACTATGCGGTTTCATTGATTTTCTACTTAACTTACGTAATCGAGATTTTCCATTGGAAGGATTTTTCTGGGTCGGTTTGTTGCGGGGGCAGCGAGCGGCGCAGCATCCGTCGTTGTTCCCATGTTCACTTCCGAGATCGCCGAGCAGAGCATCCGGGGTTTACTCGGCACCATTTTCCAGTTGCAGATTACCGCTGGAATTCTCTTCGCATATGCCACCGGTAAAATGGATTTTTTTTATCAATAGAAAATTAAACAATGCGGAGAGTGTCTTTAATACAACAAAATCTGAAATTGAAATAAGAAGTTGACATTAAAAATTTAACAAACAAATTTGCCACTATAGCTCAATTTTAACTGTCCCTATATTATAACCCGTTTAATTATCATGCCTAAATTTTTTTATTTTTTAGTTATAATTAAACGGAGAATTCTATAGCTTATTCTATAGAATTCTAAACAATATTAATTATCACAGCTAAAATTTAGCTATAATAGCTAATTTTTTTTTTTCGTAAACGTACATTATTGTGTATCAATAATCAATTGATTAATAAAGCTAATAATTATAACATTAATAATTAACTAAAATTGATAAATCAAATGTCTGCTTTTCGAATCAATTTCTATTTGTGTTTCAATAAATGTATTTCTTCATCTATGCTACATTTGCATTTATGACGTTCAAATAACATAAAGAATAGAGAGACAGAGAATTGTCGAAAAATCGCATAAAATAGCTTTAACTTTTGCCGCACGTGATTTCATTCAATAGACGCGATGGTAAAATTGAAATCACGGAGTTGTACAACACAATTGCACATTAACTTTGCTGAATTGATAAGCGTAACGTTTGCAGCTTTCACCGACAACTTGCACGTCATCGCGATACTGTGTTCCGTGGCTCCCGCTTTGCTTTTGATCTCCTTCCCGTTCATACCAGAATCACCGGCGTGGCTGGTCATGCAAGGTCGGAAGAACGAAGCGAATGACGTGCTGAAACACTTCAGAGGGGCTCGCTATCGTACCGAGGTGGAATTGACAAGACTCGAGTTCCAAGTTTCGGAAATGCGAGACACCAAAGCCAGTTCTATTTTTGACCTGGGAAAATATAAGAAAGCTACCTGCATCTCACTCGGTAAAGACAAAAGTCATTCAATTCTTATTAATTTTGTTTGCATTAAATTAATTAAATCTATTAATACCTCATTTATTCAATCTTTTCTCTTCCTATTAATTTTATTCATTTTTATCGCGCAGGTCTAATGATTTTCCAGCAACTTTCCGGCGTTAATGCTTTAATATTTTACGCGAAAAGAATCTTTGATGACGGGGGTTCAATTCTAAACTCGTCCACGTCGTCGGTGATCGTGGGTGCCGTGCAAGTGGTTGCCACTTATTGCTCAACTATTCTAATTAAACGTGCCGGTAGAAAGCTGCTTTTGTTCATCAGCGTGTCAGTGATGGCCACTTGTATGTTTACATTGTCGGGGTACTTTCATTTCCAGGTGAAGAGTTTATTAAATATTAAATATTACTGTAAATGTTATAAATATACAATATCAATATTCTCTCAAATTTTCAGATTTATTGTATTTTCAATCTCTCAATTAATTGGACTGTGATTTCTGAACTTTTTTACCTATCCTTGTTTCAGAACTCGCACGATCTCTCGAGCGTTTCCTGGATCCCTTTGCTCTCATTTGCGGTATTCATCGTGATCTTCAGCATTGGTATCGGCCCGATACCCTGCTTGATGGTCGGCGAGTTGTTCACGAAAGACGTGAAGAACGCGGCTAGCGCTGCGACCGCGATATGTAATTGGACGTTGGTTTTCCTGGTGACGAAATGCTTCCAGGACATGGTCGATCTCATGGGAATGTCCTCGTCCTTCGCCACGTTTGGCATGATAAGCTTAATCGGAACTGTATTCGTCTCCACAATGGTGCCGGAGACGAAGGACAGAAGCGTCGAGGAGATTCAAATCGAATTGTACGGAACGCAAATTAGAAACCCAAGGGAAGCAGATCCCGAAGTATGACGACGAAATATAATTCGCTTAGCTGAAATTGTCTGCTGAAGCTCCAACGGCGTTGTTTTTGTATTGTATTTAAAAAGTGATCAGTATTTAAGAATGCAATTGAGAGATTCGATGCAAGAAGAGATGGAATTTTAAAAATTCAAGTAAAAAGAATCTCCCTTTACGTAGGATATGCGTTTTTTGATGATTGCAACTGTAGAAAATATTTTTAACTGAGAATAATTTTGCAATATGCACGAGTCTTCTTGCTTTTTGTATAATTATATTTAAAAGGAAAAATTATGCGTTACATAAAACGAAAGAGATGCTTCATCTTTTTTCTCTTCTTCTCAAATCGTGCATGTAGTAGAACTAATCCACTTATTACGTACCTTGAAGCGAATAACGCTTCGCCGTTGAACTCCTGAGTTTGCGATGTGCTTTTTGCGAAAGATCACAAAAAAATTGATACGTATTCACATATTTATTTTCCATCCGGTTTTTTATACGTTTTGTTATACGATATATCACATAATACATGAACCACGCATTGAAGTCGATCGATCGTCTCGTCGCCCCCGTCGAATTACAATTGTCTTGCTTTAACAGCAATCTAGGGGATTAGATTGGAAAGTTTCGCGAGTATATATATATATATATATGCGCGAGACGCCGAATCTTTCGCGAGTGTTGGACTTAACGTAGCTCAACAATATTCGCGCGTATTGCTTTCCTCTTGTACGATATATACGTATGTGTATGTAATAAATTACACACGCGGTAACAACGATGTGTGATGGTTCCTTATACAAACGCGCGCGAGATTATGTAAAAAAAAAAAAAACGTAGAAATCGACAACATTGAAGAAAGTCGCAACTTTGTTCCGGTGCGTCCCGGAAATGTCGCACGAATAAAGGGAAAGAAGAGAGAGATAGAGAGAAGAGAGACATGTGGAAGAGGAAGCAGAGGAGAAAAGGGAAAAACGCCGATATATACGAACGCGCGCGCGAACATCGGTTTATATAGCAGATAACGACATACTTAATACTATTACGTACACACAGATATCGGATATGTACATAGGAGGTATCCGTCGCTCATTATGCCCTCATTAAGCTTCTCGAATGCTCATCCTCGGGCGAATGCGCATCCCGAATTGCGCGCGCGAGTTTGTTTTTCAATCTCTATTTTTCTTGGAAATTTGAGGGACAATTCGAACGAGATTCGTCTCTCATTGTCAGTAAGTTGTCTTTCAGTAGGTATAGGTACCGATCTCTAATAGCGACGTGGGATGAATGCATTGCGCAATACGTATATGCACAGATGTCGCAGATGATCAGAAGTAATCAGTCAGTCAATCAATCGTCCCGACTTGAAACCGGAAAGACTGAGAGCTACATGACTCACTTGTGAATCGTGTATTGGGCTAAATAAATAATTGCAAAGCGATTCTCGAAAGAAGGCGCGCATACACACACACACACTCACACTCACACCGAGTACATTACATACAAATACATTAATTTAATCATCCGAGAGATTAACATCTCGAGTCCCCAGTAATCGACCGACTACTCTCTGACGATCTGCGAGGGATACATGTAACATTAAGTGTGTACGATGACTCACTACGTTCACCGGACGGTGGTCACAAGAAGAAGTGGTCACTTACGAAAAACAGACCGTATTAAGCTCTTATAACGTGGCCGAAAGTACAAATCGAAGCAAAATATTCGCGAGACGGTCTCTTGCAAAAAAAAAAATACGCGCGACGAGATCCGCGAGGTTTTTCTTTTCCTTTGCTTTTCGCGTTGATGAGGCGCAAAGGGCTGAGTTCCAGGCCTGGAATGCGTCGAAATCCAGTTCCGATTAGACGCGTATCACACGAAAGCTCTCTCTGGCACTCTGTTTTCATCGACCACTTACAGTGTAAAGACAAATCGAACGGTGAGTTAACTTGCTTATGCTTCTCTCGGAGATAAATGGCAGAAGAACGAGAAGAGTTAATCGTCATACTTGACTTACTTCTCTGCTGGCTTCGTTGCAGCGAGATTACGCAATTCATTTGAACGAAATCAAGTTGAAAGAGTAGCGGATTATTTGCTCAACGAATTACTCGGCTCTTTTCTCCTTATTCATTTCAGTCATTACATAGTGAGATTACATAATGCTGGTCAAGAGCGAAAAAGCGTTTTTCAACAACAAAAGGCAACAGAGAAGCTAAACCGCTTGTTTTACATTTCTTAATTGTTCGCCTGCAATGATTTCACGATATTAGAACAGACAGTACTTGGACATGTTTTTAACTTCCACCGACAGTCTTTGCGAAAAGTCAGTGTTACGTTGACATGCCCGAGAGTTGACACGCCGATCATCAGAATATCCTCGCCCTGGAGGATCGGGAATTAAAGGTGACGCGCTGCATGCCAGCTCGGACGTGTCGCTATAATCATCTGGACTCGCTCTGCGAATGCGTCGGCTCCGATGTCGGATCCGGATCCGAATCGTCGATGGAAATCCCGTGTTGAGCACCGCGGATCGAGTAACTCGGACTCCGTTCGTTTCTACGAAATACACACAGAATTGTTCCCGTGAGACACGGATCATTCTGTGGGTTGACTTTAAAAATAGCAAACCATTCTCTCTTAAGCTAATTTCATTACAGTTTAGAGTTTGTAAAATTTATGTGAAACGTATCTTGAATACAAAACTCTGTTCAAGACCAAAATTGACTCTTCTAGATGACATAGAATTGTTCCCGTGAGATACGGATCATTTTGTGGGTTGACTTTAAAAATAGCAAACCATCCTCTCTTGAGCTAATTTCATTACAGTTTAGAGCTTGTAAAATTTATGTGAAACGTATCTTGAATACAAAACTCTGTTCAAGACCAAAATTGACTCTTCTAGATGACATAGAACCGTGAGATACGGATCATTTGTGGGTTGACTTTAAAAATAGCAAACCATTCTCTCTTAAGCTAATTTCATTACAGTTTAGAGTTTGTAAAATTTATGTGAAACGTATCTTGAATACAAAACTCTGTTCAAGACCAAAATTGACTCTTCTAGATGACATAGAATTGTTCTCGTGAGATACGGATCATTTTGTGGGTTGACTTTAAAAATAGCAAACCATCCTCTCTTGAGCTAATTTCATTACAGTTTAGAGCTTGTAAAATTGATGTGAAACATATCTTGAATACACAACTCTATTCGAGACCGAAATTGACTCTTCTAAATCCAAGTCACAAAATCAATCGCGTATTTTATGCTTATAATCAAAGACAACATATTATTAAATGAAAAAATAGACTCTCTAAAGTTTCATTTTATGTACCCATCGACATTTATGGTGTGTAAAATATGATGGCGCCTACATATGAAAATGTTCTTTTATACGGTTACATAAAGCAGATTTTTCATTTACAGAAGTTCAATGAATCCGAATCGGGGATGATAAGCTCAAGATTGTGTGAATACGTCATAAACTGTATGCCAAGGTTTTTAAATTTAATTTAAAAATTTGCATAATATATGAACAATAAAAGATCTTTTGTTTCACGAATAGCTTCTTCTTTAACGATGCAAATAAACGTGATTATGTAAAAATAAGTGATAAAAGTAAATCGTTCTATTATATAATAGAAATTGTAGCACTGACCTCATCGCCAATTGACTGCCATCGCTGCCACGACGCAAGGTGTTGACGCGTTGTATGCAGGAGCACTTGCAGCAGATAATTCTCTTGAAAGCGAAACGGAAATCCTTGCTGAAGAGAGCGTAGATGCAGGGGTTTATCGCGGAATTACAGTATCCTAGCCAAAATAATACGCTAAAGACGGTCGGATGTATGTGATTCGGGAAGAACGCGCGCACCAGGTACATGGTGAAGAACGGCAGCCAGCACAAGATAAAACCGCCGACGATGATGCCCAAGGTCTTCGCCGCCTTGGTCTCCATACGAAATCTCTTCACCTATTTGCATACAACTTTGTCTCACCCACTCGTCCGCGATATAATAATATATACGTATCGTAAAAATATTCCCTTTAATTGTTTTATCAAAGCTATATTTTTCAATTCCATTTTTATTCAAATTAATCCCGATCGATATCAAATGTTATTATTGCGTGTCGGGTAAAAACAATAAAAACAAAAATTAATTTCAGCTGTATTTCGAGTATCCTTTTATAAAATTGTATTTTTATTATTAAAAATATCAACTGTATGTGATACTCGAGTGACGTTTGTTTATTTTAACAATAATTGAAAAATAAACTTGATGGTCAAAGTGTTAAAAGATACGAGAACGAAAGAGAGACGCACTTGTGCTTTTATGTTCCTCTTGCCCAGCTTCATCACCCGCGGTTTCTCCTCGTTGCTCGACGTCATCTCGCGCAACGATAGCTCGTCGCCGGTTACCTGACTCTCGCAGCTGCCGCGTCTGCTCGGTTTCTTGCTGCTGCCGATCCTATTGACACCGCCGACCTGAAAGGCGGATTTAACAAGTCGGTCTTTACGACTTCGGTACACAGATACGAGCGCGCGCGTCTATAAAATACGAATTCACTTTCGCACGAATTTTACGGACGCTGTAAAACCGTCGTTTTTCCATCACGAGCGCGAGTAGCGGTAGTTACTATCGTCAAAAGATACCAAACTTCGATTAGTGTCGTCCTCAGCTGGGAATCTGTAATTGGACATCTCGAACTTTTCTCTTCTTGTTTTTTTTTAAGTAAAAAGAATACTGGATATATCTAAATAAGGGTGTAAAATAATTATTTTTTTATATTAATAAATATCCTTTTTATTAGTGGAAAATATCCACCAAATTTTATTTTTTTTATTTGTCTAAAAGGGAAAAAAGATAAAGACTCAATTTCTATCTTCCTCTTTAGAAAAGTGTAACTCCTCAGGGAAGGCTATAAGAATATATATGTTTATATGTATAAGAAACCTCTTTTAATTTTAGACAAAGAACCATCTCCAAAAATGTTCGCGCTTATTTGGATACACTCTGTATAGTAAACACCTACCGAGAATTACGTAATTTGTATAGATTTTTCACAGAATTAAAATGTAGTTTTGTACCGAAGTTTATATAAACACATTTTCTCCGTACTGTATTTTATCTTGAATATTCGCAAACGTTTATTTTAAAAATGTATGCGGCTTCAAGAATATATTTGTAAATAGAAACTTGTATTACGTACGTCTATCGAGAGGGAAGGAATAAAAAGCGCGCCTTTTCTCGCTGCATTTATCGATATCGGTGATTACGGATGTGAAAAATCCTGATACGAACGATAAAAGCTCTCAACTAAACGGACACATGTCCATAATCTTCTTCTCGTTTCGTCCGTCTGTAAAATCGCGCTTACGAACTCATCTAGGGGAGAATAATCACGATCGACGCGATTTAAACGACAAATAAAAGCTCGGAGGTTCTCGTAAAACAAAACAGCGAAAAAAAGGAGGAAAAATAGTGCATTTATGTGACCCGATAGCCCCGTTCGATCAAAACGAATGAGTACTCCGGTTTTATTGAACGAAAAACTGACTCTTGATCCGTTCTCTTTCGCAAATGATTAATTGGAAATAAACAGCGTGTGCGTGGTACACTCGAAATTGCGACGACAAAATGCCATTAATCCGAAACATGGAATATTCGCGCACAGTTTCGATATCACCCTCATTTCTGGAACGATATGAGAGAGCTAGAGATTTCATTCTCTCAATCGGAGTGAATACCTATTTTTACATATTATTATATGTAGCGATAATAATGTAAATTTTTATTATCTTTTAAAAAGATGATACAATATATTTTTCATGCTATAAAATTACAATTACGCTGGAGTATATGGAGAGAATTTTTAAATAAATTTTATTATATACATAGTAAATTTCATCAAACATATTTTCCAGTTTTATCATATTGTCCCACGATTACTATAATTTTCAGGATAAATTCTAAAAGAGAATTTTCTCTGTGTACTTTTTGTATTTTTAGGATAAAAAAATGTATTATTTGTAGAAAATTAAGAGGATAAAAAAAGATATATATAAAAGAGAACGCGCGCTTATCTCTCGAACGTAATTAATCCGAGCGCATTTCGGGAAGTTTGCAAATGAGCTTACGTCAAGATTATATAAATTTACCTTAAGATGCGTATTTCTCGGACAAAGCTGCGTCTGCGTTTGTCCGTTGCTATAATGCACCGACATTTGCGAGCATCTCGATGGCGTTCTCTCGAGGGTGTTGCACTTTGTGTTGAGAGTTTCGGTGCTGGGGTAGGAGACCGAGATTTTGATCTTCTCTCGCTTGACAGAGCTACGACTGCTCGAGTCCGGGCTTCTCGAATTGCCGTTGTTACTGCCGTTGTGGACGCTACCGCGACCACGATGTATTCGTAAGGTCAGTCTTTGTTCGTCGAACCTGCATAAGAATAAGAATCGCGTCGAGCTTCTACAAACGTAGACGTTCTATTATATCTGCCAGCCGCATAATAAAAGCTTCCACGTAAAAAGACTTTTCCTCTTGGGGAAGAAGAAATTTAATGACGGAAGTTAAATGAGATGACTGAGATGAAAAGAGAGAACAAATAAGTGCGGAAAAAGTATAATTCAATGCAGAAAATTTATTTACTACCTCTTATTAAGGCAAAAATCACGGGCGAGGGTATACAAGGATATTAAACGTTTATATTTTATAGCAGAATAACTATGTACAATTAAATAGCAAAACATTATTAATGATAAAGTCATTAAAGACATATTCACGAAAAATTTAAGATATGAATAAATTGTATATGATAGAAATCGATTACGAAATTGTGAAAAATAAGTTTTGCGCATCGATCACGACCTTTGGAAAAATTGCCGCGGGAATTTACCTGCTGCCAAACATTTTCGAGGCCTTCGTTGTCCGAAAACCTTGATTAATGGCCCTCGTCGTGGAAACGGCGGCGTTGTAGATCCGCCAATAAAAAAACAGCATCACTAGCATCGGTATATAGAAGGAACCTAGGGCGCTGCAACACAATGCGATCGCGATTTTCCGGTAATCATGTTTTCCGGAATAATCGTGCTTTTCCGGAACAATGGAGCACCTTTGCACATGACAGTTTGACTATCGTGACTATTAATTCAACCACTGGCTGATTGAGAGATGCGAACGGGGTGATAGCTACTCAAAATCTGCGGCATCTGAGTGATTTATTGACTTATTGACCGGCAACGAAAGAGGTGCATATGTCATTTTGATTGATCTATGTGTAATATTATAACAACGTGAAAGTAGAAACAATTGTTACGAAAATTTTTAAATTAGCGACACGAATGATATGTCGATGACTTTTATTTTTTTTTTAATTATTTTATTAGAATAAATGTTTTGTTTTGTATATATAAAGTTGACATCATTATGCATATATTGTGAGTTTTCATAAGAGATATATTCTTTCAATGAAAATTCCTGTAAAATAGTTATCTATTTGCTACATTTAAATATAAAAACTACAGTTTCGTATTCTGTCTTTTATTACATATTCTTGTAAGATTGTCAAAATTAGTTTTATTTTATTTTAGGTTTATGAATTAAATATATATGTATAAATAAATTAATTTTGTTTTCGATTTATGAATTAATATGAGTAGAAGAATATGTTGTGGTAAAAAAGAGATAATTTGTTACAAAAAAAGCAATTCTCAGTTATATGATGCTATTAATGCGAGGGAAAGCAATTTCCTTACGTATAACGCAAGACAGAAATTTATATCTCTATCTTATCTGACATAAGATAATGTCGGCAATAAAGGACCAAGAGAGAAAGAGAGAGAAAGTCTCTTAAAAACATACCTGTAAACGACGTAACCGGCGTCGTTGGTCAGCTCGCAGATCCATGGACACGGCTTCACCGGTACAAATATAGTGGTGGTATTGGACGGGCTGTATATTTGACCAAACGTCATGTTGTTCGGAGAATGTGACTGCAAGAATAAAGAAAGCAATTAAACACTCGTGCATGGAAAAACGATCCTGAGAAAAGCACGATCGAACAATGATCGAAAATCTCCCCGAAGCGACAGATTATGTACCCGTTTGTCCTTCCAGCCCACTAGAGGAGGGAAGCAGATGACGAAGCTCAAAACCCAAACGGTGGCCACCAGCAGCCTCGCCCGCTTCGTTGACATAAGCTGGATTTATGGAAATGAAAAAAGAGAGATTAGCGATTAACGTGAAGATATACGTGATAAGTGAAGAGATTATGCGCTTATCGACTCGAACACACAAACGTGCAAATTCTCGACAATTTTTATTAAATTTTTTTTATTAAAATAAGTAATATAAAAACATATTCGTATTAAAAATATATTTGCTATCGCAAGTCGCTATCCATGTGCTTCGTTTGATTTTTAATTTTGCGATATTTCAGATTTTACATTGTCCAAGAGATTTGCGACAAAATATTTCGCTTCTGTTATTTTATCGTATTACAATCTTTCGAAAAATATAACATAGATTAGTGCGTATAATCGGCTTCGAAATCAGATATTGCAAACAAAATATCTCGAACAGTAAACACGGTAACACGGTAAAAATTTGGAATAGAATTGTAAATGGAAAAATCTAAATCTCTCGTCTATAAAAAAAAAACTTTCATCCAACTCGACTGCGTATATCTCTTGTCAACGAAAGTGCTCGGGATTATACGTAGAATATTTCCGACGAAATCGTAATCGTTTTGCTACGCAAAGTGTATCGAGCTGGACGAATAAATCAATTGTCGCGTAATGCGTGGCAGATATCTCTCTCTTTCTATCTATCTATCTATCTATCTCGGGGATAATCGTTTTCACAAATGTCGAGTGGTACTTGCCTGAGGATAACTGACTGGCCTGGTCACAGCCAAGTACCTATCCAAGCTGATGGCGCATAAATTCAATATTGACGCCGTGCACATCCAAACGTCGACCGCCAGCCACACGGAACACCAGAGATCTCCGTATATCCAAACCTTTCGAGAAGAATGTTTACGGGAAATATATTCAATATCAATGATGAAGAAGGGTTTTCCGCCGTATTGAGCTTTAAAAACGCAAATACGGATTACGATATCTTATCTTATCTCGAATTCAAATTTACTTTTATTCAACCGTTTCATTCATTTCGTTCAAGATATTTAATGTAAACATGTCAAAAATGCAATAAATTCAGAATTGAAAGTAGGAATGACTACTGATACATTTTTTGTCGAAACATAACGAAACGATGTAAATTAGGTGTATTATGCGTGTCATTAACACCGATAATGCGTTAACACGTTATATGCAAAGCATAACCAGATAGATAAGACGTAGAGCCAGTAGCTGTCAAAGATTGGATCGATTCCCATTTGGGTCGACGGTGCACAATGTAACCACAATGATTCACAATGTAACCGCGTACAATGGAATCCCATGTACCATGCATGCAGCATGCGTGATGCACGTTGCACGCACAACGCATTCGCATAATGATGGCAATACAACATGTGGCTTTCTACGGGGTGGCAACCACCTGTTCAAAGTGAGCTTTAGCTCGAGGGGTGTTAAGCGTGCTACCGATATTGGAATTCAGTAATTAACCTTCATTATTTACAGCCTGAGGTTCGCTACTGCTGTGAATGTACGGTCACTGACAATTTCAACTAAAATAAATTCACTGTTATTCGATCATTTTTTTAATTGATTGACTATTTCTTTTTCTTTTCTGCTATATTTTCTGTCGCGTTTTGAATAAATAATTAAAAGAGATTTCCAAAAATTCTAATTTGTGAGAATAATTTGACACGACTACAGACAATTATGCAGCAATGAAGGAGGAATTTTTCTCACTTTATTCTCTATGTATATATTATATGTAGAAACTGAAGATATATCAAAAAACTTGTAAATGCAATAGCATTTATGTCCCTTTATATCAAAGAAATCTGTTTAAATTTCTGGCTGAATAAAATTTTAAATAGCATGCGTTATTAACAATTAGCAGAAGAGGACTTTATTAATTGCTTGTTATTGTTTACGTGATTATAGATGCACATATACATACATGCTGTTTTTTATTTTTATTCTTAGATTAGTTGAATTAATCTTTGTGAAATTGTTCACATTTTTTAAATTAAAAAAATATATTAGAGTTCTGAGTGCCCGAACAGTTTTAGAATTCTTAATCAATTTTAAAAAGAGTTCTGTCATTTAAATTTAAAGTAAAGTAACGCGAAAAACGTCATTTTAAAAACCAAACTTCAGAACGCTTTTCATTAAGTAAAAATTTGTCTTTAAAGTTCTGACAAGATTTCAAGTTTCATAAATATAGATTCTCAAAATAGTTCTTATTCAAAAAGTATTTTAAAAATTAATATTGAAAAATGAATATCGCGATCTTTGTTAAAAAAAATATTTAAAATTAATATAATAATTAAAATCGAATATATCTAAAACCGATTGATAACTCTTCGGGAAGCATCTAGAATTTTAATAATTTTTTAAATTAAAAATAAATGAGGCAATTTCACAGAAGTCTGAAAGACGCGATTATTTAATTAAAGCCAATTTTACATAATCAGCAGGCAATACTTATATAGATAGATTTTATCGATATATTCGAGGAATATTAATTGAACGATATTCCGAAACATTTAATTTCGGGAAAATATCAATCGATCGCCTCGCCATTTTATGAATATTCTAATTAATTTACATATATTATCACACTTCCGTTAAAATATGCAGATATCGAGTGCTCTCCACACTATCTGTACGTCTTTGCGTTGAAGACGGTTCGTTATTGCTTCTTTCTTTCTCGAACTTTGACACTGAAAATGCTTTATGCTGCGCCATTCAACCGATTCCTTTTCCGGAGGAGAAGAACAAGGAAAAGAAAGACCTTTCGGCGCAAGAAAGAGTCGTATCGTGATAAGTGAGCGAAGAAAACGAAAGGAAGAGAAACTAACTCGCGCAATATCGTATAAACTGCAGCTTCTAAATGGAGCACCTGGTTTGGACTCGACCTAAGAGAGACTCGTGTCGCTTTCACACACCTATGTCGTCTTCATCGAGCCATTTCCGCACGCACATACACACTCGTACACAAAAAGACAGACGCACACGCGAATATCGCGAGCATCGCGGGAATTCAGGCTAAAAAGACCAAAGGGAAAAGCCGGCAAACTGTTGCGCCCGCCTTGTGAATCTCACTTAAACCGGCACATCTCATTCGACAGTGATGCTGGGATAAAGTGGATATAATCGTATTTTTTCGTGAATTTTTCCAGTCGCGTTAGAAAACGACGAGGCTGAAAGGGATGATGCTATAAAAGATAGACACGCGTTGAAAAAATCTTATATAATAATATCATATATCGTTGTTACAGAAAAATGAGCACGTGTTTTATGATTATTGATATCTTAAAAAAAAAAAAAAAAAAGAGTGGGAAAATACTATTTTATTTTACTGCGAACTATTTTCATTTTTTTGTATAGAAAAAGGCATCTTAAAACTGAGAAATATAGAATGAGTAATATTTTAGAAATAATAATTTGTGTCATCTGTGTCTTTTGTAATGTTGGACAGATAAAAAACACAAAGAACATTACTGTAACGATTTACAGGATCGGAAAATACATTTTATGCGATTGTCATTACGACACCACAAAGGCTTTCAAAACAGAGAAAGAGGGACAAGGGGGATTAAAAATTCAAAATGCACATTTGGAAAATTGTTTTTAAAATAAAATTTCTAAATTTAAATTTGCATTACTTTCAAATCGGAAAAGTACTCCTATACATTTATATGTACTCATATATGTATACATAATTCATAAGTATATATCAGGATTGGGTAAGTTAATAATTTTTTTAAACTAAGTTAAGTTAAAGTTAATTGTTTATAAAATTATAATTTAGTTAAGTTAAAAGTTGAATGAACAAAAAATTAACTCAATTAAAGTTGAGTTAAGAATTAACTGAAGTTAAATTAAAAGTTGATTTTTAAAAACATTAGTTATTAGAACTTTGTTTATTAATTCTTTTAAAATTTATAATAGAAAAGAAATTTTGATTTTTATATAGATATATCTTTTTTAGTAATTACAATTGATGACAAATGAACAAAAAAATTAATAATAATTTAATTTAAAAATAATACGTTTATAAAAAACAATAATGGTATTCAGAAATTTAAAAAATTTAATTTAATTTTTATTTTTACAAGTATGTTTCGCTTCTTTTTATTATTTTGTAATATTGTTAGTAAAGTAATTTTGTTTTTTATTGTACTAATCTCTGTCTATGTATATCTAGATCACTTGATAAGGACTCAAAGAAGGGTCGAAACGTTGTGATTAAATAAATAATATTTGCCAGTACGGTCGAGAGAAGATTCTTACCTTTTTTAAAAAATGTAACTTTGGAAAAAGTTAATAAGTTTAAGGTCAAAAATAATTAGTTGAAGTTAAAAATTAATACATTTTAAATTAACTAAGCTAAATTAAAAATTATTAACTTTTTAACTTTTGTTTAATTTTTAACTAATTAATTAGTTATTATCCAACCCTAGTATAATGTATATTTTTTTCATAAATCAGAATAATAATACTCTTTATATAAACAATATTTACTCCGATATTGTAAAATAAAATATCTCGTGTGTTACATTGTGAGATAGAAAATTTGTTCCGTTGAAATTGCGAATACACGTAGATTTTGTTGAAAACTGTACGCTAACGAACAATCAATGGATAGAATTTCGCTGGTGATCAACTCGTTGTTATCCCGACACGTCGTAATGCCATCACGACTGATACTATTGTAGGTATGTATACACAGTCGTCGCATGGAAAGTGAACTATTCATCGCGACAAAGTGACTATTGTCATTAAAAGATGCAACTTTGACGGGACAATGCAAAACGCAAAATGTCCATTTATGAAATCTGTACCTTAACAAAATGCGATATTTTGATACGGATATTTGTGATATGATAAAGAGCTTTTTTAAAATCATTCTCCCTCTCTCGTTTTTACAACAATGACATTTATTTGCATCGAACCTTTTATCGCGAAGATGTTGTATTCCGTATCAGCTTGATCTATTCATGTATCGTGGAAATCGATGAAAAACGTAGTAAAGGAACGAAAGGGCTTACCTTGAAGACCTCCCAGGTTGCGCTGAATGGCAAAACGGCGACGCCGACCAACAGATCGGCGAACGCCAGGCTGACGATGAACACATTCGTGACGTTCCTCAGCTTGCTGGTGCAGTAGACGGCCAGGATGACCAGGACATTACCTACCACCACCATGACATTGACGATCGCCAAAACGATTAGAGTAACAACGTTCCACAGGCTTGACCACTCGACGCCGTCGTACAAAGCAGCGCATGCGGTGGCGTTCAGCTCTCGCATTTTAATTAACTCTCGCGGTCCTCGTCCATGCGATCTTGTCGAAGGACTCTGAAGGATTTCGTGTACTTCGGCAGCGAAAACGGGAGATGCGAATCAGGAGGAACGTGCGGGACTTGAATCGCCATAATATCCAGGAAAATTGAAATCAATTTTCTTCCATCCGGATGTACAATATTGGAGCACTTATATATCGGCACTTTGTAATCTTTGCAGTATTCACCGAACACTATATATAGTATCTTCGTGTATGATCGTCACGGACGATCGCAGGACTAGAACTTGAAGAAGCTTCTGGTTTACCTTATTGGATCCGGGGACACAACCTTTCTTCCTTCGTGTATTAATCTATATTGACTAGTTACGTTTGATCTCGGTTAACTGTTCTTCTATCAATTTACACCTTACGCAATTTTATACATTACGCGAGATTAATCATTATTTTAGAACAGAATTACGCGGTTCTTTTCTCTCTTTTCCGAGTTATTTGTTATTACTAGTTCCCGTGTTTTCGACACATTTTTATTTATCGATTACAGAGATTATATTTGTGACTTTCGTTGAACACAACCGTTAATTAAAGATCAATCTTCCGTACGAATTTCCGTCGGTATTTGCATAATTATGGTCGGATGAGCTCGTTAATACGCATGCCAAATATGTTCGCTGATACACTTGATTGTTCACTGTACAATCTGGCATTTTAGTTTCGCGGTCGCGAACACAATCGCGGAACGTTGTTTCGGATAATCGATAACCATTACTCCCTCCCTCTCTCTCTCTCTCTCTCTCTCTCTCTCTCTCTCTCGGTCGTTTGCAATGCACCTTGAATACGGTACGTCTAACGTTACGCGGCCTTTAAACGACGAGCGGTGTTTTAGACAGCGTCGACGGTATCGAATTAAGCGGATTGCTATCTAGTTTGTTTGTCAAATATCTACGGCTCACTCGTCGTTGTCTTCGTGTTCCATCAGATTGCGAATTGCTATCTGCGAGACACACATTGCATCTCTCGAATTTCATCAACGTGAATTTGATCAGTGGATCATAGTAGAAGTTTGCTTCTTCAAACGCACTCTCTCTCTCTCTCTTCCCTTTTTATCAGGAGCACTTTTTTCATTCAATGAACCCCAAAGAAGTTTCTCCTCGATATCTCTCCTCGATAACGTTGATTATTCCATCCCCGAATTTTTCCTTACACGATTCTCTTCTGCGTCGCGATTATATAAATTATCGATCGAATGAAAGAGGAGATTCTATAAACGATACCTCAGTGCTATCTTGCGCGGAAATGTGGTTCTCACGAGGGGTGAATTCTCGACAGAGACCGTACAAAATCGCCTTATTATCGTCCGTGTCAACCCGACTAACATGGAACTCCGCATTGTCACCCGATCCATGGGTTACGTTAGTTTCTTTTTTTTTTCTTCTAAAAGAAGAAACGGCGGAATACAAGAGGAGAGAATTGTATCTTAGCGGGCAAATCTCGGCGTCGCGTCGATTCCACACGTATCTCGATCGTTGTCTGGTGTTTCCTTTCTTCTCTATGTCTCTTTCTCTCAACAGTCCTGCAGCCTCTTCTCCGGAGACCGCTTTAGCTCTTCGCTATATACTGCTTCGACTGCACTTTTCGTTTTCCACTACATACGCAGGAGCACATATACACCCACCTAACCCTTCCTCTTTCTGCGGCTTCACCCTCTCGCGACGAAAGGTGCTTCTTCTCCACCCACTGACGAAATCGAATCCAACGGGAATCTTCCGACGTTCGTTCCGCTCGAAAGATTGACGTTTCCCGCACCAAGAATTGAAAACAGCGTCGTCTCTTCTATTAAGGGCAGTCGTCGACTGTCGGTCTTTTCTTGAATTTTATCGAAATGATCGGTCGAGTGCTTCTCTGCTCTCACCAGCTTCCAAGATTCCCGATAAGAGGCTTGGTCCTTCCAGGAAGCTGTGGGTAAATCATCTTATTAATACAAATCGATGACGATTCCTCGAAAATCCTAGTTTGTACATCGACACTTTTTCTCAAGTAGATATATATATATATAATTAAATTTCAGAAGAGCGTATAACGGAGATATATAAAAAGAATTTTTCTACTTGAAGAATTTTTAAGTAAAGAGATTCTTTTCTCTCTTTTTCTCTCTCTCTCACTGTAAGTAATTATAACAAAAGTTTCCCCGGTTCTATATATGATTCTAACGGATCGCCCGCCAGAAAGAAAATGTCCTTAAATGTCAAATAAATTTCCGGCTGGTGTTTACTTAAGAACGTACGATTTTCTCTTATCGGAGTCTTTGCGGATGAGAAGGAACGTTTTGAACTTTCACATTTGAACGCACACCAACGATCGAACGATTCGCGCGGACAAATTACGGCCGTGTGATTGCTACGTGACTGCCACGAGTGAAAAATTATTTTTCTCTTAAATTTCCTTCTTCTCCCCGACGTTGAACGGAGCAGCAATTTCTGCTTCGCTTTTCGAGGAAGAAGAGAGAAAACGCGCTTCTCCCTCCTTTTCTCTCTCTTCTCTCTCTCTCTCTCTCGCTCAACTCGACGACGAACATATTTCATATATATTCTTCGCTGAATGAAAATCCCTATTCCGCGGCCGTCGTTTTTTGTCGCGTCATGAGAATCTCGGGACGTATAAACGGTGGCTCGTTACGCTCTCGGACGTAAAAATCAAATTACTCTCGTCGTTTAATATTTGATAATCTCGCAGAAGAGAGTTAAATTATTTCTTCTTCCGTGTGTCACGCACGCTTCGAATTAAATTCTCGATTCGCTTTCTCATTCGTACGCTGCTCAATCTTCGCGCGAACATTCTTGTGTTCGTGCTCAAGCTGTCGCGATTTTTTGTTCGATATTTCTTCCTCTGACAATCACGGACAGTTACTGACTAATCACGACGCGTCGAGCGGACACGAACTTTTCCATTTATTATCGACATTTCTTCTTTCTCGTCGATCAAGTCGGATCGATGGGCGAAGAAATGGTCGAATTTATACGCGTATTGTCTTGAACAAACGGATCCGCGTTTGCATGTGCCACGAAATCCCGATTTAGGACGCTCGTCCCTCGGGATTACGCCTCCTGGTGCAATGAATTTGCTGTTACGCGCCCGACCGGAAATTGCAATCTACCCCTGCAATCTCTTTCAGCCTTTTCGCAAGCCTTCACCCAAGCTGACGTTACGCGCGCAAAATGGTGACCGAAAGGGTGCCTTTTCGGCCAGCTTTTTGGAAATGTGATCACGTTCCACCGCGAATTGCGAGAGAGAGAGAGAGAGAGAGACGATATTTTTTTTCTTCGACGCGATTTCCCCAGCCATCGAAAATGCAGGTAGCTCAATCTCGTCGATTGATTTCTCACGCGCCTCTTTGTTTCGACAATTCGCTATTTATTTTTTTTCCCAGACACGCGCGCGTGGGCGTTTTATTTACTCTCGGAAACTGGCGATATCGAATCGAATCTTCGATGGTTTTTTGCGAGAAAGAAAAATCGACGAAAAAGTGTTACTTCTCTCTCCGACGATCGCTGCCCTCCTTGAAAAAAAAAAAGTAGACACAAAACTTGGAATCGTTCGTTCGGACTTCAATTCCCTTCACGCTATATCCTCCTTGTTCCGCCTCAACAATCTTCACAAACGATTCGTCTCCTACTTATCGAGCGCGATTTTAGCTGGATTTTAGCTGCGAATAGCTTTCCTCCGCTCGACGATGTTTCTCTTTAATCTTTCGTTTCTTCCATCGATCTCCGGCGGGTTATATATTTCCACGGAATCGAAAAAACACGCCTGGATTAGCCTTCGTTCGCACTTTGTAATTCAAGTTTGTGGAAGTAGTCGTTTGAATATTTAATTATGCCGATCTGTATTCTCGATCGGATATTCTAAGCTAATCCGACTATGTGAATCGCTCGAAAGTCTGCGTTCTCCTTCTTCTTCTCGACCGCTGAGATTTTTTCTCTCTTTTTTTCCCCTTTCTTTTAGGCTATCGATTAAGAGGTCCAATAAACTGCCAATTATAATATAATATTTCCTTTGCTCTTTTTGCGAAGAAGAGAAAGCTAAAACACTAAGTCACATAAATTTTCAATTATTCTTCTTCGCAGTTTGCTCGGCACTCTCAAAGGTTTTCTTTAATTACATCTCGTCTGCGCCGGCGATCTGATATGCCAAATGAATTTTCAACGAAATCCCTTTGGGTTTGCTCACGCGATCTATTCTTCAAATTGCGCAAAACGCCCGATGAATCTTCGATGAAATCGTCGTTATAGAACGCTCTTCCGTCTTGGAAGCCCGGCTATTACATCTGTCTTTCATAAGGATTTTAATAACATCATCACAATGACGTTTAATCCTCACTTTAGAAGTGTTTTAAAAAAACTGTCTCCAATTAAATAATTGAACGCTCACTCTAATGTTTAATAATTTCCAATTTCGTCGAAGCTTTTAACAGATTTATGCGCCGGATAAATGAAACACATTTGAAGAATATCGCGTTAATTATCCTAGCTTTCGGTTTTAAGCGGTCGAATTTTTTTTGACAATTCCAATGCTAATTACACTTCATAAAAAAAAAAAAATACCGAACGAAAATCTCGCTTTAATTTCGCTTCTTATATTTCTCCGACGCGTTTAAACCTTTTCACATTTCGACTTCCAATCGATCCTCTCTCACCTCGGTTCTTTTTTAATTATCTTCTCCCCTTTGCTCAATTTTCTTCCCTCTCAATCCAAACGTTTAAAATGCCTTTCTCCCTTTTGTCTCATCTCCTGATATTTCCTCTCCATTCGCACTTTTTAATTGTAATCTTCTTCAATGATTGTCCCATTTATCCTAAATATAAAGAGCCGCAAAGGTACGCGAATCTTTTCAATTTCATTTGAAAGGCCATTGGATCAAGTGGCTTTACAACGATATGACGATCCCTTTCCGCCGATGCAGCGAAATAATTTTAAGCTTGGTCCGACTATATTGGACGATCCGAGTGCCACTCAAACTTTCAAATGCCGACGAATTCTTCTTCTCGGCTTCGGCAAGCCTCCAAGTATGCTTCTCCGCTCGACGTGATCAAAGTTATCGTAGATCTCAACCGAATAGCGCGAACATCTCGCGAAATTTTTCCAAGGAACTAGCTAACTTTCAGAAACAGCGAATCTCCTGTCGACGCAAGAGAGAAAGAAAGAGAAGAGAGAGAGAGAGAGAGAGAGAGAGAGAGAGAGAGAGAGAGAGAGAGAGAGAGAGAACACTGCAAGGTAATCGAGAGCGTGTTGTCAAACGTAATTAGACGCGAATCGAAGCACACCGGGTAAATTCGACGAACGTTTCCCCGACAGTTCGTGTTCTATTCGCGTTGCTTTCGTGATCGTTAACCGACAATGCAGTTCCGAGTTTGGCATTTTGCTGGCCCCGGGAAGAGAGAATTCTCGCCGTCATTTATATGCAAGCAATGCTGTTTCACGATATGGCGCTAACAAGTGCAAGGGAAACAGCGATTCGATTTCTGCGACGTACGCCTTTTGCGAAAATGAGATTAGTCTTCGTCTTAATTACTCTTTAGTGGTCTTCAAAGAATGCAGATAACATTCGGATCGCGATATTAGCGTATTCCCATACAGCACAACAAGATTGCAGCAGCATTGTGGCAACCTTTTATTGCAATATTACAATATTGTATAAACATTGTGAAATGTTGCAGCAATCTTGCTGCAAGGTTGCAGCAACGGTAAAATGTCCGCTTTCAGAAATATTGTTCCATAACATTGCAGCAATAATGCAATAAAATATATATGTAATACTACTATTGGATTATTGGAAATGTGCCAAATACATGATCGGACTGAATGTTCTGTACCTAATATTTTTGCGTGAATTTTATTTTCATAATATTTCTGAAATGTCGCTGCAACGTTGTTTAAACTATATTGCAAATTCATACCTATATAATATTTCTGCAACACTGCTATGCAATGTACAATATTGCAATGTTGTTGCAATATTGCTGCAAACTTGTGTGCTGTATGAGTTATTATAATATATAAACCCAGACTACACCATGTCTAAATAGTGGCGCATAAGACATCTTTAAGATGTCTTTAAGAAATCTTATGATGTGATATCCAAAAGACGTTTTAAAGACATCTTAAAGATGTCTTATGCGCCAATTTTAAACATGGTATATATGATTGCGAGCGATCGATCGTGCTATAGGAAGCGTATTTATGTACATGCGAACACATTGTATACGGAATAAAATCGAAGGTTGACGAATATCAAGCAATAAAAACAAGCGACGAGAATACCCGCGCGACAGTTTCGGCGAAAGAAGGTCAGAATACTCATCGAAGACACATGTATTACAAAAGACTATTAGAAATACAGTCCACTTTGATATAATTTGTCAATTTCTAAGGCCAATTTCATTCCTACTATCATCGATACGTTACACATGGTGTTGTCTGGGAATATAGTTTAAAATATGAATATATATATATATATATATATATATATATATATATATATATAGTGTTACTTACATGACAAAGTACAGCAACAACGATCTAATCGAGTGATGTCACAAATTAAGACGGCAATGTCTCGCATGAGACATGAGAATCTTCGTGAGAAGTCTAACTTGATCAGTCTTAACAATTTTCGCGCGTCGAGCCTCTGAAAATCGGATTCTAGGAGTAAAAATCACAGCCAGTGAAGTCAAATTACGCTCGTCGATCGTCTCTACGATCGCGATCAGTCTCGTGTATTCTCGTATGCATATGTGTCTGTGTATGTACGTGTGTACGTGTGCTCCTTATTCTCTTTGTTCACTCTCGTCGACTTATCGCTTTAGATAGCACTGGATGCGCTAAGTTATCTTCCGGCATCTGGCGCACTGTCTGTATCTAAGCAATCTGAAGAGCGTTGCTTTCTTGATGCGCTTCGATCGCATTATTTCGCTCGATCGGTCCTGGTGCTACACGATGGCTGCTTTAGGAGACCCTCTCGAAGTAACGCGCGTAATGCATCCCACGGGCTTTCCGATGATTTATTCCGCCCTTGCGTTCATTCCATTCTCGAATGCCTGGTTCTGCAAAAGAAAGCATGAGAAAAATCTCGGTGTTACCATAGCAAGGATTGACCATCGACTTGTCGAAGATTGCAATCGACGAGGCAACTCAAGCCCGAAGTAAAACGATAACAAGATTGCACTTGCAAGAAAATATTCAGCTGTTATTCAGTTGTGTATGTTTCTCGACAGGAAAGGGTATGTACATTTTTAACGGAATAGATTTTATCACAAAAAAAAGTTGTTTCTCTCTCTTCAAGTTTTGAACTAATAAAATTATATCTTTCAAATAATGTTGTGGTAAGAGTAAATAGATAAAATTGATTTTCTCTGTCCACGAGACACAATTTTTCAGAAAATTAACTTTAAATTGATTGAAAAATTAATAATATTTTCTCTCTGTTTAAAGTCGAATGTATAGCTTTTACCTTTTTTTATATATGCAAATATAAGATGAAAACTATTTACTTAATTATTAAATTAATAAATTCATAATTTTTATTATATACATACTAAATGTAATTATTAAATTCCTCAAGCATATCATTCATATTTTTTATGACTAATTTTGCAATAAAAAATTACACCTACATTCCAATATAATTATGGAATCATTGAATCTATTATAATTTTGAACAAATTTGATAGTTTCATGCTATGTATAAAACAGATCGGTTATACAAGAAATGAAACAGTGTGCGCAAAATCGATAGAGTATTCGGTTCTGAATGGAAGTAAATGTAGACAAATAGATAACCCCGGACAAGTAAAAAGGAAAGCTGATAAACGATAACTATCATTCAAATACACACAAATATACACAATACGAAAAATACACACAAAGATTATCGGTCTATTATTATCGTTTAGTATCATTATGTATGCGGTTTCTTCTCCAAAATTATTTGCGTATGATCCAAATAACTTCTCTCGAAAATTTATTTGATTTCGAAATCGTATATATAAGGATTTGATTGATTAAAACATCTCCATATTTTCAGTAATAAATGTTCAGAATCGTATATTTATGTGACGTACATTTATTGCAATTTTAGTTTCTCGTATATATAACTACTATGTCAATCTTTTTGACCCTATCTATATTTAATCTTGTGTATAAAAGCGAATATAGATATTTTTATACGTATATTTATACATTTCCGTGTTTAAATATTTCGAGATTTGAGCCAATGTATTTCCAATGTTAATTTTGCTTGAATCTAATAAAATAAAATACATCTTATGTAGTGTGATATAAAATAATTTGTAATTTGACATAATTTGTCCTTGTATGTCTTTATCTTATTTGTAAGTAGGTTACAGAAGATCCTCTTTTTTTCTCCATTCTTTTTTAATTGCAATTGAGTGCATCTCAACAGCACCTGGTGCATCCAAGTGAAACATCCGCTCGATAGGAAACGTTTGACGTAGTTCATTGGAAATGTTCGAAGACAAAATGTGACGATAAGAAAATGTTTCCGTGTATAAATATATGTACAATAGAAAATCATTAGTATAATTAATTAATAATTTGTATATATATATATATACATATATGTTTTTACATATTAAATAATAAAATGTCATTAAAGAAGTGCCTCATACGTGTGTACAGTTATAAAGTTTACTAAAGTTTATTTTTTCTTAATCAAATATATATCTGTACAATTTTATTTTTCACATTTTTCATCTTTGATTCCATGATATAATCGAAAAATGGAGAATACAGTCTCGAATTTTTTAGATCTGCTTCGTCCGAGTGTTACTTTTACACTTTTTTTACTCTAAAATCAAATACAGAGCGGTGCACTCGCTAATTACAAGTCACAAAGAGAAACTCGGAGAAAATTCGATTTGAAATTATTCACTTTTCTATTTTCTTTTATATCTGTCGGTATATGGAAAAAAATACCGTAAAAAACGTTAATAACATGCATGGCTGTTTACGTTCTTTTTATTTATGAGGTAAATGCACGGTAATAAATATGACAAAGGAATTATGAATAAAAAATGTTAAATGATAAACAGGAAGAAGAAAGAAAACATAGAAATGATATAAAACACGAGATGTTCATGCTATACTGGACACATACATATGTATATTTGCATAGATAGTAAACAGTAAAATGTGATGCAGAACCGAAATACCGAGGTAATGCGACGACTTACAGCCGGCAAGAGTACTCCGTTTATTAATTAATGTTTGCCCTTTATCTGCGCGTAAACGTGCATAAAGAATTATACATAAGAATTATATAAAATTACTTTTTTCTCAGTTATTCCATTCTTCAATATGTCTCTCTCTTTCTCTCTTTTTTTATTAATTGTAATTAATTTTATCGTTTATATACAATTATTATTTATTCCGTATTATATTATCTTTTATTATTATAATTATTTATTATAGTCTACTGTATCAGTTATTAAAATATCATGCCAACAAGGTTATAATATTTATACAACGTCATATAATATTTATTTGTTAATAATGAGAACCTATCAACGCAAATGCGTTAATGGACCTGCTTGTGTGCCTCATTATTTATGAAATAATATAATATTAAAAAATTGGTAAATATGTGAGAGAACAGAAAATAATATAATAGACATTATTCAACACAATTCTCTATTTATGCGCAATGTAAAAAGAATATGTGCATAAACATATCTAAACACGAGTAGCGCGATATACATAAGAGAAGAGACCGCACTGCAAGAAGCTTTAGGAGAATACTTGTGTAAAGTACAGCGTTCATCACGTATGCATGTACATCGGCTTGTAAAAGAGAGACGGCCCTTTATGCGAAGATGCACGCGCGAAAGGGGATGATTATACCTGTACATGTACACAATGTGTCTTTAGTATATACGGAAACCACGTACTTTCTCTCATCCGTTCTTATGTTTGCAGAATCTCGACAAACTGTTCGGAGAGTTAAGAAGCATCTCTATATAACTAGGAATAAAATCCCAAAGAACGTGACGTATTATACACGAGAAGCTCAACTTACTCCAATCATATCGCGTTCGAAGTGCCTATAATAATTAGCGTAGCTATTTTTTTATCTTCATAATTTTTATATTGTTGATTATGATAAAAGCAATTTACAAAAAAAAAAAAACCGCAATAGATTTTTCATCTCCCATGATCGGCAGAAATTATGACGTGGTTATTTTTCGACAAATGTTTTATGAAAAATTCGAACGCCAAATTTATATTCGTAATACCAAGATTAAGTCGGAAGAAAACTATCTCTAAACTTGATTGCAATTTCTCACGCAATTCCTCAAGAGATTGGCTTTTAATCGGCACGTGACATAGCTCTTCATCAGAGTCATGACGGTGCCAAAGTAGCGCGAGGTTGTTTAACGAGTCCGAAAACTTTAAATTACTACATCCATCGAAGAAAAGTTCCGGAACCTTACCTTGCCACGCCGCTATCTTTCCATTCATTTCGGCGGCATACATAAATTTCCCCTTTCGTATCTTACCGTAAGATTCGCTTTCTCGATCTGGCATAAATTCCACGCGGCTTCGATATCGAGATCGAATCTCTTTCTCTTTCTTCGTTTCTGGTTTGGAAAAAGTTTGTTCTTCCAGAAAGGAGAGCATAAGTCGCGCGAAATTACACTTCGCTGATTAAAAATGGGTGCCAAGTGCGAAAAACTCGATGTGCATCGATATATAAAGTATAACAAGTGCACGAAAATCAATATCACGATTCAGAGATCGATGTATGCTTTTGAAAAAAAAATATCTTGCTAAGAAATCAACGTTCCCAAAAGCTTACACACGATATGCTTACGTCAATACATTTCAATACACTTTTTGAATACAGACGCGCTCGGGAAGAGAAACATCTTTCTAAAAACTTGCAAGATCATTCCTGTAACAAATTAATGTTAAAGTGCATAAATATCTTCTCTACAACTTTTTATTATATAATTTTTGTTGCACATTTTTATTGCTCAACAAATAGTGTTGAAATCATAATCTGATATTTTTAGTAAAATAAAAATAATAATTTACAAATAAATTAATATAGTCTAAAACTTTTTTAAACTTCTTTTTGTACACGCATTTACATATAAGAATAATAATTTAGAAAGTAATTTAAAAATTTTAATAATATTTAATTAAATTTTATACGAGCTTATTAAATTTGATACGAGAAATTAATTGCTAAAGAAACACTTATTTTATTGATGTCATATGCGGATTATTCGGACGAACAATGAGAATTTTTGCTCAACTACAATTAAGACGTCGTAAATATATTGTCGAGATTCTTCTCATGAGGATTGCAAAACAGAGACAAGAATCCCTCCAGAATTGCCTCCAACTTTGACTTTGGTCGGACATGAAATAGATTGGCACTCCTAGAGCGCTGCTTATTTAATTTAAAGCATAACTTCGACAAAATGACGTGAAAGAAGAGACGACGAGAAATCAGTAGCAAAAGTTTGTATAGCTTAAATTAAGATAAATGAGATTCGAAAGGGTTTGTCAGTTTTTACTGAACGAAATCGGTGATATAATGTTAGATGTTATTCCATTTTCGCCACAATATAAATGCAATTAAACTTATATCAGTGATTCTGAAGAATGCAACCAAGCCATTGTTTTGTAGATCCATAAATGTGCTTAACAACACTTATAAAACGAAGGAAAAATTAATTATATAATTAATTATATATAAATATATATATAAATACGTTCATGCATATGAGTATATGTATGTATATGTATATATGTATATAAAAACTTACTTTTCAAAAAAAGCACCATATGTGCACGAGCCAATTAAAAGAAACTTTTAAATATATGTACAAAGTAGAGTTATTTTAATCGACAAAACTAGTCATATTACTAAAGTGCGCCAATTAAAAATACAAATTTTGAAAACTATTAATTAAAAAATATAATACTGAATTAAATTAAAAATTAATATAAAAATTAAAAATTAGATATTGATAAAAAGAAATTAAAAATTTATATAAAAATTATACATTAATAAAAT